CAGGATTATTTTGTTTGTTGGGGTGAAACAAGATTTTTTTTAAATTAAAGGCACTAAGGTAATGTTTAATACCTCGGCAACACTTGATATGCTTGGTATGTCTTAAGTATACATGTATCTTTAAACACTGCTTGAGAACTCTAATGGAATACAGTGAATATCTGCATTTCAATGATTTCAATTCAATTCATTTCAATTCAATCTCTTCCAAACCGAATTACAAAAATGAGAAGAACAGAATGGTTGAAATTAAACCTTTGATTGTATACGTGTTCAAATAGTGTCGCGCTAAAATTATCACTGAAATAACAGGCCAGATTCGAAACACTCGTGTGCATGTAACGCTATGTAAGGTCACCTGAGGGAAATGCGTTACATTTCTCTTTTGTTTATTTTGACGGCTCATAAATCATTAGTTCTTAGAAAAATAGCCAATTCTCTTTTTAATAATGTTTCATGTGCAAGATGTATCACATAACTTCGTCCAAAAGTATAACAAAAAACTTATGAAAGTATTTATTTAATGTAGATTTTAGACGCATTGGCCCTTTTTGGAAAAATGCGTCTACAGTGAATTAATCTGGAATAAGATAGTTTATGAGGCTGTATTCAACAGCGTAGCTATTTTTTGAAAGTTACTGTTGAATGTTCTTCTAAACTTAAAATTGAACAAATAACAAGTCTACCAGAACCATTTCATTTCATATGGGTAAAATGCGTCACACTTCCTGCTGACGCATTAACCCAACGATTTATCCAGGGCTTCTTAACATTTTTTAAAGGAACTCTAATTTTAATTTATTTTGAATCTGTATTCAAACAAACAATATATAAATAGTATATAGGTATATTTATCGAAGCATTGCTCAACAAATCACAAGTATTTCAAGCAAAAACAACAATTATTTGTACTATAAAAAGTCATTTTATTGTGAGATCAAATCAGCGCATTTATAACAGACATGAAATTGTTTATCTTATAAAGTAGTTTTACATAAGTAAATAATCAATATGATGAGATCAATTTCCCTTTAAAGACCTTTTCTAAATTATTTATGCAAATTATTCTAACAGTCGAAAAAATAAAAACGCTTTAAACTTATTCTTACAGTCTAAAAAATAAAAACGCTTGTAATACGTATGTAATCTGATAAACTTTTTTTACCGTTATTAGTTTTAAGTTGCTAATTATTATAATTTGAACACAAAATACGAAATATCTTACTCATTTTATTAATTACAGTTAAAATCAAGTAGGCAATTGAAATTTCAAGTCTTTTAAACATGGAATGTCGATAATTTCTTTTATCAAACGACTAGAGTTAAATTTTTATGTAAGGCACTTAATTATGTTTATTGAATCCTATTAATATTATAAAGGCGAAAGTTTGTAAGTATGGATGTATGGATGTTTGTTACTCTTTCACGAAAAAACTACTGGACGGATTTGGATAAAACTTTACAGCAATATAGGTTATACATCAGAATAACACATAGGGTACTTTTTACTGGGAAAACTTCTCACTCCCACGGGATACCGACTTCCACGCGGACGAAGTCGCGGGCGTCCACTAGTATTAAATATTTTTAAGTTTTCCTTGAAAATTACATGTCCTCATCGTGTTACTACAGGTTTTCCTAAAAACATTACTATGTCGAAATCATGTTTGACTTCCAAAATATCTTCAACATCGGGATAACGAAAAGATTGGATCTTGCTATTTTTAATAATTCGCAGAAACTTGACATTAGGGTTTTCACCTACCATGGAGACTACCTTTCCGACAAAATGCTTAACAGCTCTTTTAGTCGCAAATTTAACTAACAACCAATCATCGACTTTAGGATATTTGTGATTAACGTTCACAAAGTCATCATCCGAAATTTGAACATTCTTATTTGGCGTGTAATGGCTTTGAATTGGTATATTTTCTTTATTAGTAGTTATGGGTTCATCTGAATCATCTAAATAATCGTTATGGTTATCCCAATCCAAATGCGAGTCATCACTAAGTATTAGATCGTCATAATTACTGCTGTCATCCGACGAATCTTCTAATTTCTTTGCTTTTGTACGTTTCTTACCGTTAGATGACCACTGGGCATGTTTCTTAGTTCTTTTGTTTGCTTTTTTCTACAACTTACTCTTTTTCTTTTCTTTTTCCTTTTTTATCTTTTCCTCTTCTTCAGCACGTAACTTTTTCAAAAAGTTTTCGTTTGTAATTACATCACACCCTTTCGCTGCTTTTCGTTTATTTATTTTCATTACATTTCCTGGCTTTTTTATAGTTTGAAGCAGCAAACTCTCAAATGTCATTTCGCTTTCAATTTTTTTATTTTCTATTACTTGGATACCCGAAGTCCCCGCTATATTACCTGGTATGATGATTTGTGTTGGTTTTAAAAATAACCCTTTAGTCGTATATACCCCATCTTTACGTGCTTCATATGCTTTTAAATTTACGTTATTCAATATCATTAAACATAAACTTGACAGAGACGCTACTATTTTTTATTAAGAAATCGTTTTAAGGAATCTGGGGCAAACTTTTCTAAAGGAATTGCATTTTTGTTTAATGGATATTTACCCCCCTTCTTAAAACCGTTTCTAATGATTTTTGGGTCTAGCTCCTGCCAAACTTCTCTCAAGATTCAGCTAAATTGATCCTTTTGTAATTTTACTCCAATATTTAGACGCTGCCATGATAAAATTTTGGCATCCCATTTCATTTTCATTGACTTAAAAACAGCTAAATCCAAAGGCTGCAAAAGGTGGCTAGCGTGTGATGGAAGTTTTACTATTGCTACACCCAATTTTGCTGCATTTTCTAAAATATTTAATTAAATATGTGTTGAGTGTCCATCATAAATCAATAAACTAGGGGATTTTTTACTTAAGCGAGGTAAGACTGTTTGCAACATATACTTTTCGAAAACTTTTGACTCTCCATCCATTTTTAGTTGCAGCATATGTTGTACCTTCCAATGCTTCCTCGGACATCCATTGATCCCAGACGTTTTTACCCCGAAATATAATTAATGGAGGCAATTTCTCACCAAGTGCGTTTGCTGTAAAAAGAACTGTGACATTATTTTTACCCGTGGAAGCAATTGTCCGAGTGCTAGCGAATCCTCGAGCTCCTACTATTTTTGTTTTATTCAGGATCGCTGCTGAAACTCGTTTCGTCTAAATTCCAATTTTTTTCTGGGTTATAATTTAAGCCTAGTTCATTGATGCAGCTTTCAAGGGTATCGAATCTAATGGTTAAGTATAAAAACATCACAAGCAACCTTCCGTGACAACTTAACTGAGGTTTTTTTAAAGATAAATTGTTTCTTTTGAGAAAACCTACAAACCAATCATAACCTGGGGTGTTGTTTTTAAAGTCCGTTTTTATTTTATTCAGTTTGATAAATTTAGCTACCACAGTGGTAGTTTCTTTCACAGACAGACCGAATCCATATTTTTCCATGGTTCGAAGGCCATCAGCCAGCCTTTTTTCGTTTATTGCATCAATCCTAGTTGGTCTGCCTTTCGTATCTTTCACAATGCTTCTTCGGAGTTTAACGCGGTCTACTATTGTCATTTGCGGTATTGAATACTTTTTAGATGCTTGGTAAGCATTTAGTGTACCATTTTTAACTTCATTTACTGCCTTTTTTAAAGTTTCTAAAGTGTAGGTGGGATTCTTTTTTTTTTAATATACTTGCGCGGCATGGTGAATAAAGCATGAATATCTGAAAGAGAAACATTAAACATAAGCTATAAAGAAAAGTAATGCAGTATACAAGCACCATATTTCATTATCAAATAGCTTATATTGATTCCGTATCGCGACTATCGATAACGACAACCAAATAACTAGACCAAAATTAGATGTCAATTTTAAACGTGAGCTAAAACGTGTAATCCAATTGATCAGTTAAGACAGTTTAATATTAAAATGTTATCTTACAAAATGCATTTTTTTAAATCATAAAGCACAAACATCAATAGTTACAAACAGATGCCTCCACCTTTTATATTTATATTTGAATATATTACGTATATATAGATCAGCTGCACCAAGATAGCTGCATATAATGGACGTAAAACTGCTAGTTTAAAAAATGTCGGGTAAATTTTTTCTTAAAAAATAAAGTATTAATTTTCATGACAAAGTAAACATTCATCATCTGGATAGTAGTCATAGACTGAAGTATCACAGTATTGACACCAAAATGAGAAACTCTTCAATAAAATCTTCGCAATTGAAACATCCATAGTTAAAATAAAATGATGAGGTCCATTTCTTTCCACATTTTGGATTTCACCACATCTAATATTATTTCATTTATTGGACCGAATAAAATGTGTTTTATGCCATGGCCAAGTAAGTTTCTGATTAATGTAATATTGTAAATCATTTTTCGTCAAAAATTTATCTATATCCATGTATTTTAGTATCACCATTGTAATCGGTTATATAAATTTTGTGTATCTGAAATCAAAATATAAAAATATAACTACCTACTTTTAAATTTTCAAAAATATTCGTTTACACAAAAGGTTGAAATCCCCTGGAATCGAGGTAAATGCGTCCTACAGATGCATTTACCTCAGAAAAGTAGACGCATTTACCTCATACAATCAGACATAACCTGAAATTGATAAATCTAATTATCTTCAACAATTACAATGTTTTCAATAAAAATAATTATATGTACAGACAACCAAGATACGAAAAAAATTCGTGGAATATAAAAGCTTATTAGAAAGCAAAGAAAACAATTATTTTAAGTTACGAATTTAATTAAAACTATTACTCCTAGATGGCTGGAGTTGCTGTAGTAGGATTAGTTTGTCAGTTATTTCAAATAGCTGCATTTACCCCATGGACGCATTTCCCACAGGTGACCTTATGCGTGTGTACTATTTTTTTACACGCACACTGCATCTTTTTAGTAACACAAGCTCTCCGAATTTTCCCTAAGTCATAGATTATAACTTTTGTGATTAGGTGAACGAACCAGTGACGCAAGGGCTTCGTCCTCTTCATTATGCGATTTGGCAGCGACACTTGGAAGCGACCAGGCTACTCTTGGTACGAGGGTGTGACGTCAACGCCAGAGATGATTGCGGATACAGCGCGCTCCATCTATCCGCTGAGCATGGGTGAGAGGAAATATAAACATTATTTTATTATGTTTTTATAGTAAGTTTCTGGTAACTCTATGTTTGATTATTTTTTAATGTTATAGAAATTTATTTTTAGTATTAATCAATTTTTCTCATGGGAAAACTTCAAATTCAGCAATACTATTTAATGAGAGCCGCATTTTTCTCATACAGACAAGGGATAATTGAAAAACACATTCATTAGTCTTTCACTTTCGATTACAATAACAAAAAAGCTAATTATTTATAGATATACGGAGCTGGTGAAACTTTTATTGGAGAGTGGTGCTGCTGTAGATTACAGACCAGACACTGGCGAGGAGTTCCCGAGGACTACACTCTGTGACGAACCTCTGCGGCTTGCCATCAGGAATAAACACTATGTTAGTACAAAGGCCTAATAAAGCATCTGATTGCTGTATTCTCCCAGGAGTTATCTATGTTTCTTCCATGATTATCTGATCTCTCAACTGTAATGAATGAAAAAAGCATAGTTCATAGTACTATACAACATCACACCGCACCACAAGAATGATAAAAAAAAATGTATCAGCTGTCTTACTGACAACGATTGTATTATTATTTTTCTTTAATTTTGTATGAAACAGCTGATTATTTTTCGTGAATTCAGTGCTGCTTCCCTAGTTAAAATTGCTCAATATACTTAACTAAACTACTCCACGAAATCCTGGCAAATAAACACCTTAATATATTAATTATGTTTTTTTCATGGACAGGAGGTAGCTCGTCTTCTCCTGGAGCACGGTGCAGACCCGAACAAGCGTTACTTTTTCGGTTCAGAGATCAACCTGGTCTCTGACCCCGAGTACCTGGAGCTGCTGCTCACCTTCGGTGCTAATCCTGACTCCAGAGATAGAGCAGGACTTACTCCACTTATGAAAGCCGCAAGACAAAGAAAGGTCATTTGTAGTTGGCGACTTTAATAAATAATACGTTGACACAATATCATACAATGTCAATACAAAGTTATATAGTAAAATAACTTGATTAGCTTTTGTTTGCGACTTTGTCTGCGTGGTATAGCTACTTGAGGTACAATTTTTAAACTTTAGAATACTTATGTAACTATTTTTTTTATATTTTCACGCGAACTATTCATTAAACTAATTTTAAACGGATACAACACGTTTATATTTGATTTCATTGTAGACATTTCCGACTTTTTACCGGTCTAAAACTATGGTCTAAAATTAATCCAGCTGGTACCACGACCAGTGGTCTGCGAAGCCTCATAAAATTATAACTATAAAAATTATCTGTTAATACTTTCATGGTATTTATTTATTGATATATAAAACGTATAATAAAACTTTTTTTATCTACACTTAAGTATAACACGTTAAACCAAGTGGGTCCATCGGTTCATGGCTTTTTTATACTTGAAAAATATTTAACAGTATAATTAACGGCTCAATAAACGTAATTTAAAAACATTACTGCCAATTGCTATGGAACTATTCAACTGACATGAAGTTTTTGTTTTGCCAAGTCATAACACAACTTGTTATTTTTATTTTAAGTTCGATTTTTTGTATAACAATTCAATCAACAATCGAGTCTGTTTCATTCAGGGTATGGATGCAGTGCTTCTTCTGATCAGCTTCGGAGCTGATGTGAACGCTATGGCGGATGCAAGAAATGATTACCGCACGGTTATGCACTACGCTGTCCTCAGTGGTATGTACATACATATATACAAATACATATATACATACTCACATATATCTATCCTATTTAAATAAAAAGCTATAAGACTCATGAGGACTTCTTCACTATTTCCGCAATTCTCACTTTTCAACACGGTCTAAATGACTTTACTGCAGGATTTCACGGACATATGTGGGAAAAAAAATACCTAATTTAACATTAATGTGAATGAATCATTATTTCGAAAAACTTTATAGTAATATTTGTAGTATCAAGTGTTTAAGCTGATAAAAAATGTTTTGGAGTATTATCCAAACCATTAAAAGTTCGAAAATTTATTGGAATTTTATTGTCACCAGGTAACACAGATGTAGTAACATTATTGATAAAGCAAGGCGCTCGGGTTAACTATCAATGTCCTGAACTCAGCAAACCAAGTCCTCTCGACCTCGCTATACTGAAGGGAGATGTCGCTATGGTGCAGCTACTTCTAGATGCAGGTAAAGAGCCGATTCATTAGTTAAAGCTCCGCCGTTTAAAGTAAATAAAAGAAAAAAACTATTCAAGTTCAAGGACACTGCGTTAATTTTTAATCTTCAAATTCAAAATGATTACGGTTCAGGGTTCATACCGGTTAAAGTGATGATTGACTGGTATGAAAATCAGTTAATAAATTTAAAGAAATAAAAAAAAAGTAATTTTAATCAATTTAAATCTAATAATATTACATAATGTATGTAAATTATTCTTCTTGTTTTTTTTTATAATCTAAACCAACATATATTATCTTTTCAGGTGCTGAAGTGAATGCGTCTAGCTCAGTAATAGGGTCACCATTGCACGTGGCTTGCTCCGACAATATCTCCAATAGGAAAGAAATTGTCAAAGTAAGTTACTATTAAAAATTTGTAGTAAGTAAATAGTGTACATCCATTGAAACACAAAACAAAGCTCATAAAGACTTGATTTTGGCAGAACTTAATGAGACGGATTTTGTGGTTCGTCTTGTGTAAAAAGATTTATTGTTCTTCCTTGTCGTTTCTATGTAATTGTACATCGTAAAATACCGAATATAACTCGAATTTCGCAGTAACGGCGAAACCAAATAACAGTTTTTGTTAACCCAAAGGGAGTAAGCGAAATGTATACGATGCATCAGGTCTCCAGTACTCCATAAAATTGCAGTGCAGAAAAAAATTGCAGATAGATTGCACGTAATCGAGAAGCAAATTCAGTGCAATATAATTTGTTGTTTGAGAGATATTTCTCAGGGTTCGAAAAGAAAACAAATCTTGATCTAAATAATTTGTTATTTCACCTTTTTGTACAGTGAGATTGCACAGAACGTAGTTACAATTGATACGATAGCGCGCGCGCATTCACTCTGAGAGTTCGTGGCGCACTAGCGCAGTGGCGCGCGTGAGATGTTCGTTAAGTTGCCCGTGCGATCGAACCATCTCGAAACCGGGCTGGCAACCGCCCGCGAGAAGCTCTAGTTGGTAGACGTGCTTTCCGGTTTGCTATAGTTGTTATTTGCATTAGTCTTGCAATGCTATTCTATAAAAAAAAATCAGTGACGATCTCGACAAAACCTTTATTACCTTTCAAATGTGGGTTTTATTTGATCGAACCTACATTCCTACGCTGTGACGTCACCTGCTCGACGTCAGCGTGTTGCAAATTTTTTTACAAAATAGCAAAAGTGATTTGTAACGTATCTAGCGCAGCAGTCTTCGTCTCCTTTTCATACGTAGCTCGCTACGACCATGCGTCGAACTAATATGTATTTTCAATTCCTCGAATGGTTTCGCTATATTAAAAAAAAATCGCCCTGCCAGATCCTACTGGAAGAGGGAGCAGACCCCAACTTGAAGGTGTTCAACGATGACGACGGCGCTCAGCTGCGGCCCGCACTTGCCGAATACCTCGCCAGCAACAACGAACCCAACATAGATATTGTGCACCTCCTGCTGAAGTATGGAGCCCGGGTACGTATTCACCACAATAAAATAACCTATTATTCCACTTACACTTAACTAAGCTGATAATAATTGCATTATTCGACTTTTCCAGCCGTTTATCCGGGGCAGAGATGTGGTTCATATTGAATTTCAATAGTAGCATTACCAATTCATGGTAACTTATAACTTAATTAAGTATATTTACTTATTATAATTGGTATTACAAGATCAGCTTTGTTCGGTATTAAAATAATAAATGTATGTTAGGTTAAAATTTTCATTTGTGGGTGTTTGGTTTGGTTATTTATTGTTATTATTTTATATATAATTAACTTGCAGGTAATTATGAAGACTCAGTTCCGTGACCCCGATGGCATTCTAAACCACCTCCAGAACGTAACAAGTGAGGAGTACGAAAACATATTCTATCTCCTTCTAGAAGCTTGCGAAGCATTCGACCTTTGTATGATCAAACGAAATAGTACTCTAACGGCTGTTCAAAAAGAAATCCTAATAAATAGAGCTAAGACACCTCTTAATTTGCTCGCTCAGTGCAGGATATATTTGAGAAGGTTCTTCGGTACCACGCTTATGGGGGTAGTTAATAAATTTGAAATTCCCCGAATCCTTCACCGTTATTTGGCATTTGAATGCAAATGAAGTTGCGTTTGAATTTTCTTTTGGTGTTAAGTAACTCATTGGCAAAGGAAATAAGCTTCATGGAAGCTTATAATTTTAAAGTAAAAGTAATATTTTTACTAAACGAAGAAAGTCGAGATTATTTTTAAGAGAGACGATTGAGTTCCAGTTGTGTATTAATTGTCAGCTAATTTTTTAATTAAGTAATTTTTGTAAGCCTAATGGTTCGAATTCTACGAATTTGCATTCGTGTATTTCATATTTTTTATTATGACTTATTGAAGAAATATGTACCTACTTAATAGGTATTGTTAATTATTTTTTAAGAAACGAGAATGATTTTTATCCTATTTCATATTTTTACTTAATATAACATATATTTTATTTACCAAATATAAGATTGTATTTTAAATTTTTTATCGAGTTATTAAAATATTGTAATCAAATATCAATTTAAATTATTATAATATCATCTGGTGTCTATTTAAGTTATTATGGAAATATAAATCTACAAAAGTTTCACAACACCCAGACCCGACACATTATAGGCAATTTCCATATTGTCCCGACTAAAATAGGTTAGGTACTTATATTGTTAAATTGTATTATTCTGCAGAACATCTTTTTAAAATATAAAAATAAGTAGCTTCTCGCTGCGTTTACGCTGAGATCTTTTATGGATTTCGCCAGAATCCAATATTTCACTCAGTTTAGTTCATATTTTATAGACTTTGCGTTTTGTATGTTGTGTAGTGAAAGTCCAAATAAAATTAAAAACTTTAAAAGTGCTACCTTCTTCAATATATAATATTGTAATCTTTCAAAGTGTCATTTTGTGGCATTGGTAATGCTGCGCTCAATTGACTTTCTATCGATTTAATGAAGAAGTTTTTTAAAAATGAAAGAAAGCACTAAAAAGCCCTCACTAGATGGCGACTTAAGCAAAAGTTGTTTTTTGCAAGTAACGAACTTTCGTTTTGGTACTTACCAAAGATAATAATTTCTGTTCCTTTTAAACTAACATATTACAAAACTGAAATTTGCAAAGTTCGAAACTTAGATATCAATGAAAATACGAAAAAGTACAAATAGAATATGAGTAGTTTATTGACTTTTGAAAATTAATTTACTTTTATATATGAAAGAAAACCGGAATGGTTGTCAAGAAGAAGAAATCAAGAAAGTATCCTTTCGACATCTAGTTTGATTTCTGGAACTAATGTTTTTTTTAATACTTCTTCATTATCGAACTAACACCTAGTGTTGTACTACACAACGGATTTTAATGCAGTTTTTATATATATTCAGAGTGATTCAAGAGGACGGTGTATATGTATAATACAGGACCACGCGGGCGAAGCCCATGGCGAAAAGCTAGTTAATAATAATTGATGTTTTACAATAAAGTCATTGATGTCCCTCTTTGCTATTGCTATGTACTGTCAACAGCACCTCAGCTTATATAAAAACACTAAAATTGGCGATCGCTGAGTTTTAACATTGAATGCAGAAATCTTAGATTTTTTAGTGTTCTGACGTGTTGCTGTCTATACATTTAATTAAATATTTGCGGTATATCCTATAGATAGTCTGATTATGTGATAAATTGTGATATTATTGTAATTTTAAGACCGTTCACTTACTGTGGACGGATAACAATACGAGTGTAACATAATACAACTCGTCTATTTTCTACGATTACATAAATGTGTGTTAAAATGAAAGTTGTTTTTGTTATTCCCAATATACATAATAGGCGGAGAGCTCGCGAAAAATGTGCAATTGTTTTCAAAACTTTTTCAGTATATTGAAGTAAATACTTAAAGGTTTTTTCTCATACTGTTGTGTGGATACATGTGTTATCTGCAGAGGTCGGAATTAGGTAGAGTTATTTATGTACTTGCATCGAAACTTTGATATCAATGTGGACCTTCCCGGGATTTCTAATAGACAATCCCGTGTGGCCAACAATCTTACAACTAAATAATAATAACAACGTCAGAGATAGACAAATAAAACAAAGATAATTAACATAAAATTTTTATTAGTTTACATTAATTTACACCTTGGTGATTGTGTGGGTAATTTTGGTTTGGGGAAGCGCAATGAAAGAGGTGAACGTTTAATTCAATTTGCTTCGGAAAACGATTTCGTGATTGCGAATAGTTTGTTCCAACACCATCCCCGAAGATTATACACCTGGACCTCGCCAGATGGAAAGCACCGCAATCAGATTGATTACATTCTAGTACGGGCGCGGTGGAGAACATTCATTCAAGGTGCCCACACCTTACCAGGATCCGACTGTGGGTCAGATCACCAACTATTGATGTCTAAGTTGCGGGTGAAATTGAGAGCCGTTAGGAAACAAAAACCACAGAAGCGGCTAGATGTTCGAAACAAGTCGAAGTTTCTGGAATCCATACAACGCAACTGGGAGAAATGGACTACCGCAGAAAATAGCGTAGAAACCACTGACAAGCTTTGGGGTCAAGCCAAATATCTTATCTCGAATGCTGTTATAGATTCGGATCCACCCGTGACTAGACACAAGAGGCAACATTGGATGACAGTTCATACGCTGTCTCTAATAGATGAGAGGCGTGTGATGAAAGCTACAGGTTCCAACGTAAAAAACTTGAATCGAATATCCGCCCAAATTCAAGCACACTGCAGACGGGACCATAATGCCTATCTAAATAACATTTGTATGGAAATCGAAACTCACGCTGGAAGATGTGAGTCCAAAGATTTATACCATAAGATTCGATTCATCACCAAATCTTTGTCTTCAAAATCATGGGCCATTGAAGACAGTGATGGCGAAATGGTTACTGAACTCGATAAGATCTCGGGGATATGGAGGAGTTACTGTCAGTCCCTTTTTCAAGATCAACACTCACGCAATTTTTCACCAACAGCACCCGATGAAGGAGAACTGGAGCCGGATATACTCCTGTCTGAAGTTCGGGCTGCCATCAAACACCTCAAAGATAGGAAGGCTACAGGAAGAGATGGAATACCTATTGAAACCATAAAAGCCTTAGGTGAATATGGTACCCGTATATTTCATACTATCTGTAACAGAGTATGGCAGACAGGAGTATGGCCAACAGAATGGACGCATACAGTCTTTACGCCTCTGCATAAAAAGGGCTCTACGAAAAAATGTGGAAATTACCGTCTTATTGCACTCATAGCCCATGCAAGCAAAATCCTGCTTCATATCCTGAATGAGCGATTGAAGTCCTTCTTGTCAAAGGAGATTGCGCCAGAACAAGCTGGATTTGTGAAGGGCAAAGGAACTAGGGAGCAAGTTTTAATCGTGCGCCAAGTTATAGAGAAGGCACGGGAGTTTAATAAACCCGTTTATATCTGCTTTGTAGATTTTTCCAAGGCCTTCGATTCTGTTAAATGGCCAGTCTTATGGAAAACCTTACTGGAAATGGGCACACCAAAGCACCTAGTACATCTTTTGAGGCAATTATATGAAGAAGGAACTGCCTCAGTGCGAACAGGCGACATCCTATCGAACAACTTCCATCCTAGTGCAGGTGTCCGTCAGGGGTGCATAATGTCACCACTTCTCTTTAACGCTTACACAGAACTTATAATGCGTATCACCCTTGAGGATTGGACGGATGGTATCGCGGTTGGCGGCTACAAGATTGCAAATTTGCGTTACGCCGATGATACAACCCTGCTCGCCTCTAGCGCTCAGCGCTTAGAGGAACTGCTCCAGAAGATGGAATATGTTAGCCTGGAGTTCGGATTAAAGGTCAATCGCAGCAAGACAAAAGTGATGATTGTGGACCGCGTCAACAATAACTCGCCAGAAGTCACTAATATTGCGAACTGTGAAGTGGTCCAGTCATATATATACCTTGGCACTTTGATCACGAACAATGGTGGATGCATCGAAGAAATCAAACGACGCATGGCTATAACTAGGAGTGCCATGGACAGGCTTAAGAAGATATGGAGAAATAGAAATATCACCAAGGCCACGAAATCCCGATTAGTTCGAACTCTTGTTTTCCCTATTTTCCTGTATGCTGCCGAGACATGGACTCTGCGGGAGATAGAAAAGAAAAAGATCGACGCCCTAGAGATGTGGTGCTGGAGAAAGATGCTCGGAGTATCGTGGACTGAGTTCCGTACGAACGTTTCCATACTCGAGGAACTTGGCATCGAGGAGAGACTGTCAGCTATCGTTCAAACCAGCATTTTGAAGTTTTTTGGCCACATCTCCAGGAAAGAAAGTGACTCCATTGAACGTCTTGTAGTGCAGGGCAGAGTGGAGGGTACCAGACCCCGTGGTAGATCTCCCATGCGATGGACCGACCAAATAAAAGCAGCTGTGGGTGGCCAACTACATGAGTGCACCAGAATAACGGCCAACAGAGCGAAATGGCGAGAGATAGTGCACAAACTATCAAAGACAAGGAACGAGACAACATGATGGCCACGACCGCTCTGTCAAGAGCGTAACTAATGAGACACACTAGAAAAATCTATAACACTTTCCTTTTTAAAATCAATTTTTTCGATAATATTCTAGAATGTTGTAGAACATTCTAGGTACTTCTGGTGTAGGGTATATAAAGCCGCGCTCGCGATTTGTTTAGTCAGTTTGAAGAAAAATGGACGAGCGACAATTTCGAACACTATACTTATACGAGTACTTGTTAGGCCACAGTGCGCGGGCTGCGGCTGACAATATCAACAATGCATTAGGCGCTGGAAGTACAAGCCATGCGACGGTGTCCCGATGGTTTGACCGTTTTAAATCAGGAGACAGGAGCCTTAAAAGTCAGCCACTCTTAGGGTGACCACCCGCAGTGAATGATGACGATTTGCGCCGCGAACTGCAGTTGAATCCGGATGCTACCACTCGTGAATTAGCGGAAGCACTTAAATGCAGTCACCACGCCGTGGAACACCATCTGCATGAGCTTGGTTATCGAAAAGTTTTGGCTCGGTGGGTACCGCACATCCTTACAGACGCCAGTCGTGCAGTCCGTGTCGCTATCTGTCAGTCACTTTTGCTGCGACCCCGACGTAAAGAGTTTTTGTCAGATCTGGTTACTGGAGATGAATCATGGATTTATTACGAGAACGATACACGTCGTGCTTTTTGGCTGCCTCGAGAAGAAACGCCACCAACTCAACCGAAGCCGAGTCAAAAGAACCGCCGAAAAATTCTGCTTTGCTGTTTCTGGGATACGCAAGGCATACTGTTTTATGAGCTATTACACAATGAAACTATAAACGCTGACAAATATTCAACCCAGCTTACCAAATTATCTGCCGCTATCAAGAAAAAACGACGAAGACGAGTCAATGTAGTTTTACTGCACGATAACGCTCGACCTCACGTCGCATCTGTGGTTCGCCGGCAGTTGGAGAACTTGGGCTGGGAGACGATACTCCACCCACCTTATTCCCCAGACCTCGCCCCATCAGACTATCATTTGTTTAGAGCCCTGAAACAGCATTTGCGGGGTAAACAATTTAATGATTTCTCTGACGTAGAGGCGGGGTTGAACAACTTTTTCGAGGCACAGCCATCAGAGTTCTGGGCAAAAGGCATCCAAACTTTGCCGGATCGTTGGCAAGAAGTCTTAGATACTAATGGTAATTACATCATTGACTAAACTTTTTTTATTGTAATAATAATAAAAAAGTAAAAACTTAAACCAAGTGCCTCATTATATCTACTCTTATGTATAGTTGCGAACATTTTAAAATATATTTATTAGTTGCATAAACAAATAAAATTAAGAATTATTTTCAAACATCACCAAAACCCATCAATCAGGAGAATTACATATCCGAAAATAAATATTTATTATGAAAGTTTAATCTTATCCATCTTTACGGGTGTATGGTTGTGTACGATAGCTTCCTGTATTGGATCATACGGACCATTAACACCCAGTTACGAATAACTAATTTGTTATTATCTGTGTCAATTACAGATAGTAACAAGTTTTTATGTAAAATACTCCAATATTTATTTTGTTTTACTTCTAATCTTACAAACAAATGTCGGTATTTCCGATGTTCAGCCGTATTGTAAGTCGATACATTTATCAACTCGGCTGATCGTAATTCAGCGTGTTAATTTAATTCCATTCCGCCATTCAATTAAAGGGCTAGCTTCCCCATTGGTCGGCTGATTCACATTGTGAAATGGTTATGTTTATCGATAAGTTTGGAGTGTAAATTCATTTTTATATAAATTGTAATTTCTTTTTTATAAAGAAATGAATTTGATTGAATAGGTAGTTTTTGCAATGTACCGATTTTGGACACGGACATATCGATGTTAGTGGGCAACTAAATCGATTCTATCCTATGACGTCCACGATTAACCATATACTCTTTTGACAGTGATACGTAGTACCTTCTTCTTACTCTGTGACAGTGATTCAGCTAAAGTCAAAGAGGCTTTATGTTTGTGGCATTTTATACACAACGTTGCTAAAGCAAAAATATTGCAATTTTTCTTTCCTTTACTTAACTTAAAATGACAGACAAACAGAAAGTGGATCTGGGTTTACTCGAAGAAGACGATGAGTTCGAAGAATTTCCCGCGGAAAGTATGTTACTATAAAAAACCAATGTAGTTTATTATTTTGGAAATTTGTCCTATCAAATTACGATATTATCCACAGATTGGGGAACCGAAGACGCTGATGATGAAGATGTGTCAGTTTGGGAGGATAATTGGGAAGATGATATAGTTCAAGATGATTTCAATCAACAATTAAGGTTAGTTTTGCTTTGATGTTAATAACATTCTAGAAACTAGTGTGTAAAATTCCTTCAGATTCTACTAACTCGTTCCATTTGGAATTTCTTTATTCACCATGTGTTAAATAAACACTTTAGATAGACCTGAACAAAAGATTTTGACGCTAGATCACTTAAACCCTACATATAGTTTTATAAATATTGGCGTTTCATTGTAATCAATAAGGATAACGACTGGGTAAAAAAACATACATTCTATTTAGTCCGCCACTCAGATAATATAAAATATTAGATACACATTTTTTTTTGCTTCAATTTAAACAAGAAATGGCTTAGATATTAAGCATTAAAGTTAAAGAGTGGGGGGCTTGCTACATCATAGTTTTGTAGAAAATGTATAAAATTGTGATGTCATACGAATTTCAACTGAAATGTATCACCGTAATTTATTGATAACTTAAAAAAATCTAATAATTTCAGTAATCTATGTGATGGACAAACAAACAAAAATAAGTTGTTATCCCTATTGTAAGAATGAGTATAACATACAAAATAGGTTTTTCCATTCGCTAAATCTTGAAAAGTGAGGGTTAATCTCATAGGAACATTTTTATGTAACTATAAGGTAAGGGTAAGGTACTTATCATCCTGTTTCTAAAATCCACCTTGTTGTATATTTTGTGAATTTTAACCAGGTGTTGTTGCAACTCAAATCTTTTGATGTTTGCTGAAGAGTAAGAATATCACACATTGGGCACAAAAGCCACTAATAGAGATCCGTAAACATTTTAGGGTCACTGTACTAAGATACAATTTGCTAGATACATCTGTGCGAGTTCAACAGTAATATGTGTGTGCATGAGTGAGAGATGTAATGCTGTCATTGTACAAAATTCTCTGTACGGAAACCATGCTCTATAAAACTATTTAAATCTCTTTAGCCTTTATATTTTCATTAACATGATATTGGTAATGTGATTTGCTCAAATAATCAGCAAGGTATTTTTGTTTGTATAAATATATCTCTTATGTATTTAAGTTATTTTGCCTACTGTTCAATTTAACTCTAATTTTTTGTTTGTTACAGACAGCAACTTGAAAAACTGAAAGAAACAAACAAGTCTTAGAATTACTTAGCATAGTACTAGATTTAATACCTTTTTTAACATCAACATATTTCTAAATTCTCAATAATATTACCTAATTAGAAAATGAGTACCTATTTATTGGTCATAACTTTTGGCATCATTAAAAGTACATTTGAATAATTGCCTAAGATTGAGTTTTTCGTTGCATCTTTTCTTGTTCTGTGATTTAATTAAAATAAAAACTTACTACCAAAAACTTGTTTTATTTAATACTTACCTTTATACATTTATTATAACCAGAATACATTAAATAAAACTACTTTTAATTAAAAATAATTTATATTACATGTTATTATTATATGTTAAATGGTTTGAAAAATTTATTTCATTTATCAATGTTTCATCCTTTAGAGATTCAATGTTTATTTAGACTAGACGTTGGTTAACTTTTGTGATTACATTTTTTTTCGTCTATGGACAATTCGGGTATTTGAATAAAAAAAAAAGAAAATAAAGAGCAAGATTTTTTTATTTAATACTTACATACTACATTTTTTATTAACAAGATTACGTATTACCTTTATATCACATATGAGTCCAGACACTGCCGAACAATGCCAAATTCAGACTTATCAAATCAGGTTGATATGTGTATTTTACACAAAAATATAATGGACAATTTACACTATATATTATAAAATGACACTAAATATAAGGTACAGTCAGCATCATAATCATCGGAGCCCAAGAAAAGATATCAAGGCAAGGATTAAAATTTAATTACATCTAGGAAACAGTTTCAAATCTAAATACGCAAAGTTATCAAAATATCTTCTAGAACTTGCATCGATAGCTATGACGCTAACTGTACCTAAATTAATGTTCGCGACCTACCAGGGCTTCATCAACAAGGAGTTACAGGACAAAATTTGTCACACTGCGAAAGTTCAAAGGAATTTCTTTTGTAAAAAGAGGCCGACGACTTTTCATTTAAAATCAAAAGTCTATATTCTGATTAGGCTGACTGGTGCCAAATTGGTACTCTTCGGAGGTCTGTGCCGGTTGTGCATTCTGGTCTTCCTGTTCAGAGAAGTATGTATCCAGGATGTGCAGTACTTTCTTGTATACCTATAATACACAATAAAATCTATGAACTTCTATAGTCTTACAAAAATCTGACATGTGTTACACACAAATCAGGGTTTGAAAAAAAACTGATTTGAATAAGATTTCTCGTAAATTTTTTAAGACACACAATTTAAGGCCAATAAACACTACATCTGCTTAACATCTGTCTATAATTATAATAAACTAGCTTCCCGCCAGCGGCTTCGCCCGGGTGGTGTTGTATTATACATAAAATCCTTCCTTTGTATCACCTTATCTATGAAAAAAAAAACCGCGTCACAATCTGTTGCGTAGTTTTAAAGATTTTAGCATACATAAGGATTTAGGGCCAGAGAAAGTGACTTTGTTTGTACTCTTTCAGACTACCTTACGTTAAACATTTCAACATAACTATTATAAATATTTTTTAAATTTATCTTGTAAATAAAATGTTCTGCACTGCTGCTTCTGAGATCCAATTTTTTCTAATGTTATAATGAATGGAGTGTATAACCACAGATATATAAATTTTTTACCTGTATGATGAAATTAATAATTCAGATTACTGTTACAGAACTCTTGTTAATTATATAATGATAGCACATTTGTGTATTGCATTGCATTGTACTTATCAATCAAAATCACTTATTTTTCCTGTAAGTATATAAAATTACTGAAATCGAAAATCTTTGGTCATTCAGTAAACATCACAAACATATAAATAGATGTCTATGGTACACATATAAAACTTGACACTGGCGAAACATCAAATAAACAATTTGACCACAGAGCACATGTATATGCGTGTAGCAAATACTTGTTTGTTCTGTCAAATAGTAGTATGTGTAATGTTTTATTTATCGATTTAATGTACGTTATAAGCATTATTATTGAAAAATATTAGCCGTTTGCACTTCTCCTACATATAAACTATAAGTGTGCCAAATTTCATACTCCTCCGTCCTTGCAATTTTCGTAAAAAGGGGGTCCAAAGTTTTTATTAAATATATAGATTACTTGTTACAATAACATAATCAAAAATCGGGTGTGACCAATTTTTTATCAACTTTTGATAAATAGTTGTGCTCGATATCATTATACTAATAGTAAAGGACACCGAGCCACGCCGCGACAACAGCGCCACCAACGGAGAAACAACGAAACCTTCCCCTCCCCGCGTGGTGCGGGGTAGCGTACCCCCACTCCAAGGAATCTAATAAGATTAACTGATTTGTGTATGAGCTAAGTCTCTCCGAATTTCTCCGAACCAAGTGTTTTACTTCGATACCTCTGCTACCTGCCCGCTTTAAAACCAGCTACAGTCCATCTGGTACACTAATACATATATCACATAACTAAGAAACCTGCCCTCCACAATATTGCTACTTTGGAATTATTTTCTATCGAGTAAAGTTAATACAATCGAGTTTCGGTTACAACCACAAGATCTGAACCAATACCAAATATAACCACATTTTTTTTGTAATAATATGAGGTTTCCCGTGAATTACTATAAGTCAAGCTCAAATTTATCGATTCAGGACTATTCAGCCCCTTAAAGCCACGCACTGAACGACGAGGGGAAATTAGACCATTCTCGACGCCAGCAGTCAGATCACTCATTTCAACTTATATGTTTAATATGAGTTCCCGAGTATGAAGGCAGTATGAAAAGCGAAGGCTATTAATTCCATGCATTGCGGCCCTTAAAATAATCATCAACTTTATAATAGCCTTTACTCATAAGTATATTCTTTACATGAATTTGCAATTTATTTATGGGTAGGTCAATTACATTTTGTGGAACTTTATTGAACATAGCAATACATTTACCCAGAACTGATCCTCTGGTTTTTTGAAGTCTGAAGCTTGGAACGGCAACTTTATTTTTATTTCTTGTGTTAAGATTACTTTTTTTTGTGAAGAAATCGTAATGTTTTCTTGTGTACATAATATTCTCATAGATGTATTGAGTGGCAACAGTCAGAATATTTATTTCTTTAAATATTTCTCTGAGAGATTCCCTAGACCGTAAATTATATATAGCACGGACAGCTCTCTTTTGTAGACTAAAAATATCCTGAATGGTAGCAGCAGAACCCCACAACAATATACCATACGTCATTACACTATGAAAAGAACTAAAATATACCGATCTTGCCGTTTCAACATTTGTCAAGAGTCTTACTTTCTTAACAGCAAAAGTTGCAGAACTCAGTCTACTTGACAAGCTGTCAATATGAGGATCCCGTTGCAGTCGGGAATCTAGTGTAAATACCAAGGAACTTTGTCGATTCTACTAACTCAACTTTTTCACTATTTACATTTTTTAAGTGTACTGACATGCCTCACATTAGGTAATGCAAACTTTATTTACTTACTTGTTTATAAATTATATTGATTTAAATGTCAATAATGTTTTAAAATTAGTTACAGCTGTAGTAGACAACTCTATAATAACAGTCGCGGATTCGCCGCTCCAAAAATAACTTTAAAATACCAAAAATAACTTACTTCGACGTTTTCGTGCTGCTGCAGCAGTTCAATTTGATCTAACGCACCGATTTCCTCCAGTTTTAGACAAAGTGGCTCCACTTGACCATACTTGACAGCCGCCTGTATAACATAATGAATTCTTTCTTTAGTATTTTCTGTCTCGTCGTAGCGTAGCAATATAGAGAGCTTAACGTATGCGATTGGCCACATTTCAGATGGTGACCGAAATGTGTACCCGCGACACGCGGCACGTACCAGGAGTACATAGACACACGGTATGTAGGTACCTGCAGCAGGTTGGTGAGGCCGTCCAGTGCTACAGTGAGGGCGCGGTATGGTACCAGGAGTACATAGACACGCGGTATGTAGGTACCTGCAGCAGGTTGGTGAGGCCGTCCAGTACTAGTGTGGGCGCGGTATGGTACCAGGAGTACATAGACACGCGGTATGTAGGTACCTGCAGCAGGTTGATGAGGCCGTCCAGTGCTACAGTGAGGGCGCGGTATGGTACCAGGAGTACATAGACACACGGTATGTAGGTACCTGCAGCAGGTTGGTGAGGCCGTCCAGTACTAAAGTGAGGGCGCGCTATGGTACCAGGAGTACATAGACACACGGTATGTAGGTACCTGCAGCAGGTTGGTGAGGCCGTCCAGTACTAGTGTGGGCGCGGTATGGTACCAGGAGTACATAGACACGCGGTATGTAGGTACCTGCAGCAGGTTGATGAGGCCGTCCAGTGCTACAGTGAGGGCGCGGTATGGTACCAGGAGTACATAGACACACGGTATGTAGGTACCTGCAGCAGGTTGGTGAGGCCGTCCAGTACTAAAGTGAGGGCGCGCTATGGTACCAGGAGTACATAGACACACGGTATGTAGGTACCTGCAGCAGGTTGGTGAGGCCGTCCAGTACCACAGTAAGGGCGCGATGGTCAGGCGCGGCGAGGAGGGCGCAGTACGGCTCCAGGAATCCAGCAGACAGGAGCGCGTCCAGCTGCGGTGCTGAACCGCCCAGGCACAAATTCGTTATGGCCCACGCTGCTTCTTTTTGACACCTGTAAGTTGAAAGAAGTCTACTTTGAAAACTATTATATAAACTTGCTACGGGCGTCAAAAAAGAGTAGAAGTCGCAAATGTATCTATTGAAAGTATATCTTATCATTTGAGAGTAATATTTTAAGAAATACTCTGTGTTAAATACAGCTTATTTTTATGTATATTAAAATTATTTATCAGTGAGCTTGTTTGACTGGACATGTTTTCTAAAATTGTAATGGAAAGTAACTTCATATTTTAATGAAGTCATTTTTCAATCTTGACGATCTGTATGAAATAAAACAGACAGAAAAAAGTAGTCCTTGCCAAGTTTCTTGCCAGTTCTTCTCGGTACAAGGTCTCCCGCCGTAGATTTACGTAGGCGTAGCTCCCGACTTTCACAAGTGCTTGTAACAGACTAGACTGAATGAATAAATTGAGGAGTCGTCATCATCATTAGCCCTTTTCGTTCCTATTGCAGGGGCTCAGGTCTTCCTTATGGATGGTTAAGGAGGATGGGCCATGACCCTCCACGCTGGTCCAATGTGTATTGGAGAGTATTAACGATTGCAAATGCAACGGCTTAACGTGCCTTACGAAGCAAGGAGTAGCTCGAGATAATAATTTTTTGGTCTCCCATCCCGTGACCGACCCTTGCGACAGTTGCTTAATGACAACGATCGCGGGCCGCGGCGCTTATCCTCTACGCCACCGAGCTACTCAGTTGAGAAGTGGGGGCTCACTACGTCACAGTTTTGTAGAAAATGTACAAAGGCTTGACGTCAAATAGAAAATTATTTTTCAACAAACTAATTAACGGACAAACAAAAAAAAAATTTTCGTCATCCCAATTACAGTTCAAACAGGTGATTTTTAGAAATGAAAGCCCAACCTACCTAAGAATTCTAAAATTTACACAGGAGTCTAACAAAATGCTCTTTAAATAAGAGCAAGAGCACTTGTAAATTCAAGCCCTTAAAAATTGGGATTTAAATTGATATACACTTAGCTCTTATATTGTAAGTGACTAGTGAAGAAAAAAGGGAAGGTTTTCTTACGGCGCATTTCCATTGAATGATGGTGTCCATATGCGGCGTGTGGGCGAATTCTGAATGAGACTGCGCGCATTTCACATGCGAACTACGAACCTCATTGACTAATGTGAATGAGCCTTAATAGAGAATGTATGTGCCATTCAGTCAGACATTTGTATTTACTTACAGTGAAGTCATTAGAAGAGACGTAATTATTTTAAATCGTTCAGGTAAATCGTTTAGTATTTGTTGTTGTAGTTTTTTATTTTTATTGCTCTGTACCGCCATCGCGTTTGTCTGTTTTCCCAAAGGTTGACTGGCAGAGAATGCTATTAGCATTAAGTCCGCCTTTTGTACCATCTTTATTGGTCAATAAAGTTCAATAAATAAATAAATAAAAGTAAATGAAACGAGTAACCAATACTCGACAAATTCAATCTAAACTGTTTCCACAAAAATAACTTTCGAAGTTTTGCCTTAACCTTCAACTCTAGCGATAACTAGAGTGGTGAACTAATGGTATTGTGAAGTGTTATTAGTACCGTTATTAGTATAGTGAAGTTGAAGTTTGAATCTTGTAGTTGGATCATTTTATCCGGAACCCTAAATCGTAACAATAATGTTATGTGCAGAGTGTATTTGACAATCAATAACTCCATTCCCACTCTAATAAAAAAAAGGTATGCTTATATGAACGGTGAGCCTTTTTTTGACGCTGAGAAATGCATTACACATACTCAGTTATGTGAGACTCCAACTGCAGAGACCCACCCCCAGAATGGAAGCTAGTTAAAAAGCTGTAGTTTACCCACTAAATCTCAGCGATATCCATAAAGGCGATGCACGGGCACAGCCCGAAGGCCACGTGGCGTTCCTCCCATTTCGGCCCGCCCTGAAAAGGGCAGGTCTCTCTGCGAGTTGGGGGGTACGTCTCAGAGACACACAAAGACAAATTTCATAGTATGGGTGACCAAAAATTTATTATCTCGAGCTCCTCCGTGCTTCGGAAGGCACGCTAAGCCATCGGTCCCGGTTGCATCTGTGGGATGTTAACACCCACCAATCCATGCGGTGCTGGCCCATTAGGGAAGGCCTGTGTCTGCCGATGATGATGATTTGATTGAAGACAATATTGACATTGACTTCTGTCCCGGCTGGATAAAATGGTAGATCCGGGATCGTGTGTAGGTACTGTAACGTCCGTGCAGATAATTATAGGTAGGTCTATTTACTTTCCGGACGATTTATGGTCAATGCTGACCGCTTATATTTTGAATTATTACTTTTTCCGTTTCACGCGTGTTCGTGTTTTGCTCTTTCTGATTGAGCTAGCATAGAGTCAGGATTTGATATATATTATTATCAAATAAAATCAAGATGTAAAAGAGTTTAACAAGGATTTGATTGCGCCATCTGGAGCGACCGCTGATCCCACCACTAGAGTACTCACTTGATATCCTCGTAGGAGAGCACGTGCAGCAGGTTGGGCAGCAGCTGCGCGTCGATGGCGCGCTGTATCTGCTGGCCGGTGCCCGCGAGGATGTTGGAGGCCGCCCACGCCGCCTCCTTCATCAGCGCCGGCTTGCCGCACCGCAGCAGCGCCACTATGTGCGCCAGGCACCCGGCGTCCAGGCATCTGTCCGTCTGTCCGCACACATGTTGCAACGTTACGGATAGTTCGAGACATCTGTGCTGGCTTGTAACGAGGGAGTACTTAAAAAAAATTTGATGGCGACTCTAGCAAAAGTTAATTTTTGCAGGAAACGAATTTATCAAAGATAGTCATTTCTGTTCATTTTAACTAACATATAAAAATATTGAAATTTGCAAAGTTCGAAACTTAGATATCAATACAAATATGCAAAAGTACAAATAGAATATGAGTTGTTTTTGAATTTTGAAAATTAATTTACTCTCAAAGAAAACTGGAATAATTGTCAAGAAAAATTCAAGTAAGTACCGTAGCGACATCTAGTTTGATTTCGGGAATAAGTGTTTTTAAAATACTTCCTCATTACAGGTATATACGCCGATGCTCCTACACATTTATATTAGCGATATTTTTGTCACCAAAGTAAATCATACAGGACTTAATACTGTAGGTAGAAAAACAAAAAAAAAAAAATAAACAAAAAAAAATAAACAAAAAAAAATAAAACAAAAAAAGTAATTTAAGCATAGAATCGATAAAGAGACTATTGATTTTTAACCATTGATTTACTAATAATTTGTATGTAGAGGGGGAGTTGTACTACTTCATATTTAGCAAAGTCATTTTTCAATCTTGATATCTCTGTACGAAATAAAACAGGGAGAAAAAGCAGCCCAAGCTAAGTTTCTTGTTGGTTCTTTTCGGTACAACAACGTCTCCCACTATAGATTTAAAAACTGATGGCATACAGTTTCGATTTACTTTTTTATTCTCAGAAGTGCTCGTGAACAGCTGGGGCACTTAAATGCAGCTGGGGCCTAACCCTGAACGCTTAAAACAACCATTATAATATTGCTATGTTATTAATATTATAAATGTGAAAGTTTCTTTGTTTGGATGTTTGTCCGTAAATCACGCCTTAACTACTGAACGGATTTTGATGAAATTTAGTATACATATAGGGTATTAGCTGACTTAGATAATAGGATATTTTTAATCCCACCAAACATTTCCTTAGGGACCACGCGGGCGAATGCTAGTAACCTAATAAAAGTATAGCTAAAAGCCTACTAAAGGCTACCTGTTCATCGGAGCCGGTGAGCATGTTCCCCACGGCCCGGAGCGCGGGCGTGCGCACCGCCGGGGCCTTGTGCTCGAGCAGGCCCACGAGCCGCGGCAGCAGGAGCGCGGTCTTCTGCACGGCCTCGATGCGGTCGTTGGGGCCGTCCGTCAGGTACGAGAGCGCCCAACAAGCGTCAGCTGTGTACGTCAGATACACATTTTTAAGGTTTCTATAACCGAAAAACTAAACTAAAATTCCCCTGAAGTCGAAGTCAGATGGCAAATTCGAGAAACACCATCGGAATACGACCTATTTTTGGAAACAATTTTTTAAAGTCTGTATGTTCAGGGATTATTACGCAAATTCTTAATAGACTTTCAACATACATAAAACTGCTATTGAAGTCTTTTAAAAATTTACAGAAAATTTCCGATACAAGATATTTGAATATTTAAACTGCTTTTAAGATGAGTGTTACTTTTCACTTTATTCAAGATAGAACTCAGTAAAATAAAAAAAATGCTATTAACTTTTTGAATTGTTAATATTATAATCATTAAACATGATGGTTAAGTAGTTACAATGTAATCTCATACCGAGTACATCTTGATCCTTAATGGTTAGCAATTCAGAGATGTATGGTAGAGCGGGAGATACATATTCGAATTTCACCATTGGATTCTTGTTCCTGTAACGACAAAGATTGATTATAATCAATATTATAATATGATTTGGTCGGTTTACTCATCTAGTACGAGGATAATCTATAGTAATAAATACATGACACCAATCTTTATACAGTTTCAATGAGCAACGTATTTATTTATTTAGCTCACAAAACAAGTTACAGTAATATAATTGAAATAAATATACATAACTAAGGAATAAACCATACCGTAACTCTTAAACAAGTGAGCATAGTATGGACCAAATATACAATGTAACATTAAAACGTAGCCGCAGAACATTATACAAAAAGAAAAAAAAAGAACACAGCTAAATAACATATAAAGAATACAGACAAACACATGCTTCTAAGAGCGCAGGATGCCTTGGACTTGTCTTTTAAAAGTAAGTATTTTACAGTTGAAGATATCTAGTGAACAATGCTCAACTACAAGATCATTATACAGGCGACACATACTTGTAATGGGATTATAAAATGAAGTGATATTTCTATAGATATGTAGGTAGAAAATTTTGTTTTTATGAGGATTACGCGATCTGTATTTTATATTAAAAGTATTTGAAACTCGACTTTCTTTCGTTCGCCGATCTTTAAAATTCGCTAAACCGCCGGCAGTACGAAACTAATAAAAAAAATAACAGTCCAAAACGGATGACAACAAAAATGTGAAGCGCGGTAAAGTGTGGCGTGTAAAATGATGGGTGTGCAGAGGTGGGTGTACCTGCAGAAGTTGCTGTACGCCCAGACGGCGGTGCGCAGCTGCTGCGGCGGCGTGGCGGGCGCCAGCAGCGGCAGCAGCGCGGCCAGCGCGCCGTGGCCCAGCACGGTGTCGCGCGGCGCGGCCCCGTCGCCCGCGATGTTGCCCAGCGCCCACGCGCTCTGCTCGCCCACGCTGCCGCCGCGCCCCAGCAGGCTCACTAGCTTGGGCACCGCCCCGCCCTGCCGACCCGACCGATAATTACGATTCTCGCGCGTTAATTATAGATGACATTTTCAATAGGCGGAACAATTTGTCGGAGCTATTAAGCTGTGGAACTCCACAGGATCTTTCATTAAACTAATTTAGGAAAGTTACCCTGTTATTTGTGAAAAAAGAGTCCCGTTTTGAGAGCAACAAGTAATGAATAATCCTTTCATCGACGAATAAAAATAATAACAAACGGTTGAAAGCCAAAAAAGAGTGAATCCATTTCAAAATTCTTTCCATGATATCAGCGATTGACATTAGGCTACATTTTAGAAAATTAAAAAGAACACAAAGTCTGCAATATCAGACTGCCTACTGTTGAATAAGTTCTTATGCTCTATTATATAGTGCTCACTTCAATAACTGCCATTGTGTGGTCGTGCGTACCAGACGCTATATTTGTGATTGCCCAAGCAGCTTCAAACTGAAGATCAGCACTGAAACAAGTTAAATACTGTCGTAAATAAGGGTACTAGTAATTCTTGTATATGTCAAAACTGCAATCAAGTTTTTCAAATTTATCAGTCATTTCTCAGAGCACCATCAGTGGTATTAGGTAACCATAATGTTTCTAGATATTATAAAAATTAAGCATTATAGATTTGGTACAACATTTTCTTTTACACTCTCACCAATCATCCCTGTCCAAAGCCTCAACCAGTGGTTTGACAACACCCGCATCCACCATGACTGATATAGGTGGGTTCTGTTCACGGGAAAGCATCTTTCTAGCACCACGAGCAGCCGCAGTACGTATCGCTAGGTCAGATGATTTTAGGCCTAGAAAGAAACATGGAATTATAACAAACTGTTGCACATACAAAAGTCATATCTTCAGCTTCAGTCAAAGCATTATTTGACTATTAAATTAAGATAATACGGACTAAGAACTGTTTTGAAAAACTTCAGTTCCCTTTGAAAGTTGATTTCCATTACAATCTCACATGTTATATTGTTTATTATATCCCAAATGTTCAGGGTTTTTAGATCAGTATCCTAATTATTCCCTGGAAATTGTGTGAACAAAATTACCTTGAACAATCTCTTGTGGTGTCATGAGCTTCTCTTCAGTTTGAATCTCGTCCCCGGCCTCCGGAGACATGGCTCTGCGCTTGAGTAACTGTTCATCTCTGGCCTGTTTACGGAGTGCTACACTAAGTTCAGCTCGCTTCCGGCGAAGCTCCTGTAAACACAAATAAACATTATGCATCACTCCTAATTATAAAGATTTATATCTAGGTTAGCATTTCTCATAGTGTGGTCTATAGAAATAAAGAAATAAAATATGCAAGTACCCAATTGGTTAAAAATAAACAGTCCACATTAAACTATATTTTAATTAATTTAAGGCTCTATGTATGTTCTCCCAAAAGGGATCTGCAATAGATAATATCACCTTCTTTGATTACAGCCTAATAAGGTTCCAACTGCTGTAGCTCAGACCTCTCTATGAATAGAATCACATGTGGTAAATAGGCCACAACCCAAATGCAGATCCAGTACAGATTACCGAAAAAGTAATTCTAAATTTAATTGAACATTGTCCACATCAAAGCATTTTATAAATAAAAATTTATTTTCCCTGCTACTATTTAACCTATAGCTTTGATTTTAGTTTATTTTTAATATCAAAACTTTTCATAGGTAGCTAAAGAATTTAATTATCCTACACTGTATTGATATTTAAACATAAAAATGACTGCTGTTACTTGTTAACATTTTTTGGACAATTCAAAAGGGCTTAAAATAAGTTTACTTGAATAAAGATATTTTCATTTCATTTCACTAAATTCACTGCAAGATAATTTTATTACTATATTAACCAAAAATTACTTACAAGAATTTTTGGTTTGTTTTTCTTGATTGGTTTTTCAATTGACATTTATTAAAAAAATATACTTTGTTTACTGATTAAAAATGTGAATTATTTTGTAACAAAAACATTTAACTAAAATTCTTTAAACTTTTTAACCAAATGTAGTCTAATTATTGTTGTTTGATTCCATTTGTACCTAATTTTCTTACAAGACTCTGAAATAGCAGAAAGGACTAATCTTTTCTTCTATTTCAGCATGTTTTTATACAGGTTTTTTAGATAACCAAGTGATATGTTCAAGTGTTGATTTATTAAGTGTTTAAATAAACTATTATAATAATTATTATTAAAACATGGTTTACACAAGTATTTCTAAAAAGTTGGAAAAATGAGCTGTACTTAAACTCTATTATCATACTTTTCTAAGAATAATGTTGGTTTAAGATTTTTTGATAAAAATGAAAAGATATTGCAACATTGTTATTCCAACTAATCTAAAAAAATACTAAGTGACAGTTTATGTGCAAGTACGGTATTCTAATTAAAAATTAATATGTTTATGCAAAACATGGAGTGAAGGGTTGATGGAAAATACTTGTTCCACTTCGATAATGGGGGTAGAAAAGAATATCCTCATATCAAATAAAATTGACTAAATATTTTTAAACGATCACTTTAAATATAGAAATTGGAAGAAATACTTATCGTGGTAATCAAACGTACGATAATCTAAGCAAATCGATTCTTTTTCATGTTTTATTAAGATCAAAAAGAGTAAGCAATCACGTAAAATTTCTCACGAGACAAAAGAATCGCAACAGAGTTATTTTAAAAAGTACTCACGTTAGTTCCTTGGCCCGTATTTTTGTAAGAAGCTATTCTAGATGTATGGGTTTTGTCTGCCATTATTGTATAAAAAATATATCAGTGAATTAGTAAAAAATAAATACTTGTACACGATGTGAGATTTTTGATTCAACAACGGATTTTTGAATTTTGAAATTTTGTTGACTGTTCTTGTTGTTACTTAATTTAAAGCAAAGGGGATTAGCCAAAACAGCTTACAAACACCATTTTTGTTTAAAACACTCAGTATAATATTAAAAGCTGATCAAAAAGTAGGATATGCGCGTTGAATGTTTCGGAAAAAACTTTAAAAACTATTTTGGTAGTTTACTTACACTATACATTTGAAAAAATTGGTCCACGAAAAATGCTATTTTAATTTGGAATAAAGTGAAAATAACATAATTAGTTGTATGTTTTTTATAATTATTTAGTCCTGCCACTTATGAATAAAAATAATACAAGAAAAATATTAGTGCTCTGTCAAATAAATATTTTGCATAAATTCATTATCTTGATCCTCGTTATTGTTAACGAGTAAAACATGGTAATTTAAGTTTATCTAATTTACGATAACATAAAGAGTCGGCGATTTAAAGTTAAAAAATGAGCTGTGAAACAGTACTTTCGGAATACCAATTTTTCTGCTTAGTTTCTATAAATATTGTTAGAACTATTGATTTTTTTTACAATGTAGCCCACAGAACAACACTATGTAGTATGAAACTACATAGTGTTGTTCTGTGGGTACAACTGTGTCTACAACAGTATGTAGTCTATTTAATATAAAAATAAGCATGTTTTGAATAAATATTTAATAAAACATTATTGAAAAACAGTGAATATTGAGTCATTTTGGAGAAAATAATTAAGTGATAATATGGATAACCCTTGATAAGTTTTTATGATAAATGTCTTATCCATATTAAAATATCGTCGTTGATGGCGACCATATTGAATGCGCACTCGCTCTGTGCCAGACGGCGGCGTCACCCCCTCTGTGGAATGCTCACGGCACGAGCATGACTTTCTTTACCTTTGTTTTTAATGATTTTAAGTCTAATTAGATTTAATGAGGAAGTATTTAAAAAAAAAAGAAAGTACTAAAAAGCACCTCACTAGATGGCAACTCTGCCAAAAGTTGATTTTTGCAGGAAACGAATGGACTAAAGATAGTCATTTCCATTCCTTTTAACTTAGATATTAATAATTCGAAACTTAGACATCAATACAAGTACAAAAAGTACAAATAGAATGTGAGTCGTTTATGGAGTTTTGAAAGATAGTTTACTTTTATACATGAAAGAAAACCGGAAGTGTTGTCATGGAGAAATCAAGAAAGTACCTTAGTGACATCTAGTTTGATTTCGGCAACTTATGAATTTCCTCAACGAGGAAGTATTAAAGATACTACATAAATTTATGTCACTAGATGGCAGCACAAATTGTAGGATCTAAATGTCACTGGGGAAGTATTTAAAAATAAAAATTAGTTTTTTAAAGTCTCAATTTCGAAAGCACAAGTTATTTGCACGTTACACTTTATATTTTGTAGTTTTGTTGTTGTAAGTTCAACAAACAACTAATATCAATAAAACTAACTTACCTAATTGTTCTTGTTTTCAGAACTTTTGTTAAATATTATAATGAAAAATTCCTAGACCTACTATGGCATAAGTATTTTATTTATAAAAACTATTTGGCGGTAATAGTATTGTATACAGTAGCTAAATGCCACTTTTAATTATATCACAGCATTAATTCAATTGATTTTCATAAATTAAAAAAAAAACCTCTGTGCTTACTTTCATTATGTTAATTTCCATTTTCCTCTATACAAAGAAATATCGTGCGCGTCAGGTCATTATGTTCCGTGAAATATAGCATATTCCAATAAGACTTAAACGGAGAAAAAAGCAGCCATTGCCGAGTTTCTTGCCGGTCCCCCGCCGCTTTAGTTTTGCGAATGGTTGACATAGTTTTCAACTTTCACAAGTACTTAGTAACATCCTAGACTGTTGTCATGTAACTGATTTTGATATTTATATATGACAACAGTAACCGACGTGTGGATGCATAATGGCTTGATGTTGCTAATGTTCTTGATTCCAAATTTGAATTCGGATGAATCGAGTCAATTGAAGTTACGACCAACCAATAAGTTTGCTCATCACTAATGTTGACATAGAAACGAAACATCATTCCTTTACACGTAACATATTAAATAACTTAAACTTACGATAAAAAAAAAAATAATTTAAAAGTTCGATATTATAAGAAACACGAACCCTGTCATATTTATTAATTTTCGATACTCAATTTACTTTTAATACGTCAGAAACAAAATTTGAATGTATATCATAGACAATGAGGAAGTATTTAAAAAAAAAACGAAAGCACTAAATAAAGCACCTGCACTAGTTGGCGACTTTAGCAAAAGTTGATTTTTGCAGGAAACGAATGGACCAAAGGCAGTCCTTTTCACATATTAAAAATAAAGAAATTTGAAAAGTTCGAAACATAGATATTAATACAAATACGAAAAAGTACAAATAGAATATGAGTTGTTTATTGAGTTTTGAAAACTAATTTCCTTTTAAAGATGAAAGAAAACCGGAAAGGTTGTCATGGAGAAATCAAGAACGTACCGTAGCGACATCTAGTTTGATTTCGGGAACTATATTTTTTTAAATATTTTCTCATTATCTGAATATCGCTAGTGTCATATAATTTGATTTCGAGAATACTTCCGTATTATGTTTCGAACACAAAGAATTTGGTGATAGTATCACCATCTAGTAACATATAAATCTCAGAAGATTTCTGGTTCCGTATTTTGATTCAGACAGTGCTGCCAACTTATAGCTATCTTCTAACAACAATATTATATTTAATCTAAATAATATTCAATATTACATTATATTATTTGATAATACATAACAATTGCTAAAGAACTACCATTTTATTTATGATTTTTTTAAATTATATTAAGGTAACTCTTTTGACCTATCATAAATAAATAACCATCTATCTGATATCGTCATAGAGGACATAAGTTTATCGATAATTATTTTTTTCCATGTATAGTTATCGATACTTTTACTCAATGCCCAATTTTGTATATTTTATTGTCTTATAATTTTTATATGTCGTAACATCTCATATAATATATGACTTATTAAATAATACATATTACTCTTATTACTGATTTGTATTTATTATGCAAATTAATGTCATTTTAGTAATTTACTAAAGTATCTTTGGGTGTGTTTTGTACATTGTATGTTTGTTGTGTTTTCTTGATATGCAAAACATATGATTATTATTACTTCTTTGTTTGAATTGTTTTCTTTAAAACCTAATTTCACCCATGATATATTAATTTAAATCTTTAACTTTTTAATTAAACTCCAATGTTAATTTGACATTTAATTTCAAGTCATTTACCTACGGAAGTGTTCACTTTAATATTAAATAAACTGCATTGCGACTCTAACTTGTATTAATGCAGCCAAGACGTACGTCTGAAAAAAGATAGAACTGAATAAAATAAAAAGAAGTAGGAGGCGCTCTTACGACAGATATTGAGTGGTGGGACGGGCTTAACATGCGCAAAGAACTATTATATAGATATAATGTTATATTACACTATAATTAACCTATGCCATGACCGACACTTTCGTCTGACGACCTCGCGTACGAAATGATCGTAAATTAACATTATTAAAACAAGTTTACAAGTGATCTCAGACGTGTAATTACGCAAAACGTTACGCCGCTGGGCGTGACATCACAAATCAGTCCGGTCGGCTCGAAAACAGCAACTTGATAGGTTATCTTTGTCTATCTGACGAGCTTAGAGCGAGAGCCGTATACAGACAGGCTAGCGCTGATCGTATTCTGTCGAGGGTGTCGCCATTTTCGTTTTGACGAATATTGACAGCACGGCAGACAGACAGCGGCGCGGCGGTCGACGGAGCGTCTGCCAGACTATTTTTATTTTGATTGTGAATCATTTTACGAGCACACATTATTCGTTCAGTGCGTCAGTTGATCATCAAATACGTATTTACTAAACATTTAAAAGTGACGTGTAATAGATAAGTGTACGAGAAATCCCGAATTTTGGTGCTAACCTCTTCCTTTTTTTATTAGTGTTTTTGAGAGACTGCAAGACTGTGATCGATATGTGCAAGATGTATTACAGATGACTCCGCGTTAGTATTCGCCTTCTTGGTTCTTCATTCTGGTAAGTGTTTGTTGTTATTTTATGATTAACTGTGACTTAAAAGTAGATATTTCTATTGAAACAAAGTAATATGGTTTTTCAAAGCACAATAAAGTGTTGGGTATATGTGTCTTTGATTTAGGAATGATTTTACTTAGAAAAATGACATTCAGCCTTTTGTTGCGGTAGCTCCAGTTTGTTTACGAACTGTCACGGACAGTACACGGCCTAAGATATATTGCCTGGGTTGGCGACTATGCGTGGGTATACTGCGCAGACGAAAATGTTCTTTAACACAATGGAATACAGTTTATAGTCGTGTAACAGGGTTGCGATAACGGCCCGTAGAATTAATTTATCACACGCCGGGCTTGACAAGTTGAAAACATAAATTCGACCTTGCCGCTCCACGTGGTTTTAAGTCATTGCGCTTTCTTTTTTCTTTATATTTGTCTAAGAGGTCACATGGAAATCGATATGTATACGATTGTCGATAGTTTTTTCTTTGTTATTGGTATTTTCACTTCCGGTTGTCATTTTTAGTTAATTTATTTTGCGTTTCCGGCAAAACAGTTTATTTTTCATATTGTCTACAGTTATTCAAAAGAAAACGACTCAAAATATATTATGTTTTGCTATCTTAGCAATAGCTAGATAGTTAATTGGTCTATTCTAGATTTTGGTTTTTTATTTATAGTTTCATAGCTTGTATTTTTGGTAATACAGGTACCTAACAACGTATACGCTGTTTAGCATTTAATAATAATAGATTGGGGATAAAGGTTTTTCGCATTTAATATAAAAATTCGATCCATTTTTAGTAAATTTTATTTATATTTAATTAAATTATGTAGGTACCATTTTATTCGACAACTTTTTCCATCTTGTAAGTAGCGACATTATCCAATAGGGATG